TTAGTATTAGCCGTTAGCCGCAGCTAGCAGTTCAAGGCTAACGTCTGTTATCGATACTTTTTAAAATGAAGATCGTATCCGGATACAACATTTTAGTATCGATACTTTTTTAAGTATCGATACTTTTGAAAACCCTAGTCTGAAATGTAGGACATGTCTGGGAAAAAGAGGACATCTGGTCACCCTACAGTTGGGTAGGCTAGGCTAGGCTAGGCTAGGCTAGGCTAGGCTAGGTCATAGACATCGATAAACGTTTGTCATGCATCAACACCAAACAGTCAAATATCAGTAAATCAATACGCTTCGTCTATCAGTGAGTTGCATATTTCGCAAAGGTTTTTCTTTATATTTTTTAAAAAATGTAACCAAATTTGTAATTCTTAATATTTTCGGAAGTAACTGTAACTGAATTACATATTTTCTCATTGTAACTGTAACGAATTACAGTTACTCTTTTTTTGTAATTAAATTACGTAACGTCGTTACATGTAATCCGTTACTCCCCAACACTGGTTGGGACCAGGAGTGTGCGTGTGTGCCCTGGTGCCTCCGTGAGGCGGCTCCGGTAACAGCAGCGCACCACCCAAAACCCGGCCCCGGCCTGGGCTATTCTTAGCACGCTCCATTAGTGCGTCCTGGGGGCAGCTCCAGATAAAACAACAATTACTGCCGAGCCTCCGAACCGCTGGAGCCTCACCGCACCCCGGCCTCCAGCCCTCCAGCCCGCCGCCTAATGAGAGCTGCTGCTTATCTGAGCCCCGGCTTTAAGGAAACGGGACGGGGTTTGCTCTGGAAACGGTGTCACCTCTGTGGATACGCCTTGGATGTGCAATTTAGGGCTACGTGCATTGATTTGGATGTTCACTTTGAGCTCCGTTTCTTTTGTTTTGCTGTACGTTTGCTGTGTGAGTGTATGGGGTGAGTTACAAAAGCCTTAATAAACAAATAAACAAACAAAAAACAAACAGTCTATGAGTTATTTTTGATAATTCTGTCACATATCTATAGCTTGTTTCCACAGGACCCTCTAACACATTTTTATGTTGTTCTTTTTGTCTCACTTAGCAAATAAAATGTCCTGTTGGTTTATTCATTGTTCTCTAATCAATTATAAAAGCTATTATTACAAATGAAAAAAAAACAATGCGCATCGTATTAATAATAAATGATGCCTGTGCATGAGTAATGCATGCTCGCTCATTAATAGATTTGTATCCACAGAAACTTCTGAAAGAGGGTGAATGTGAAAATCTGGGCTTTTACAGTGTAGCACGTGTGATCGTATAATGAACATGCGCTATAATAAGTGTTCATATTTCCTGTGGATGCTGAATGGGCTGCGCTGTTTCCAGCTTTAATCCATTAAAGGCAATCGTAGCTCCTGAGTAGAGAGCAAAATGAGCCAGCAGCTGCCCTTCACAGCCTCTTTCTGACCCCTGGTGTAATCTTTGAGCCGTAGCCTTTTATTATGCTAACCTCGGCTGTAGACCTTTATATTGTAATCCTCGTTTAGGTTTTCCTCAGCCTTTGTTTAAAAGGGCTGGCTATTTTAGTTGATTATATAATTTTTCTCCTGTTTAAGTTGATGTAGTTAAATTACAAGTCCTTTTTACAGTCCTTTCTGTTCATATTTTAGTCACTTATGGCTCAGGATTATCCTGTTTGTGAAATTGGACTGGGCTCTCCCACAAACTGAGTAGAACTTATCAAAAGGAAGGTAAACCACTAAGACTGTCTCCTGATCTCCTGTGAGTTGGGGGGGTGAGCCTGGGAATGTAATGGTACAGTTAACAAATTAAACGAGTACCCATATTGACTAGTGTGAGAGATAGGGTTTACATACAGGTGTAACTAAACTGTGTCAGTTTTCCCTCCATAGCTTTCCTCATTATAGTGCACACGATTAACTAATTAGTCTAATTATTTGTTAGGTCACACGGGAGGTGACAGGTCCAACTCCTGAAATCAGGCTGAGCGTGAAGCACAAAGTATGGGGGGAACATCTGAGACACTACATGTACTAATGCAAACGTTCATGTGTCAGTAAGTGACCCTCACAACATCTTAAGGCCCCCCACCCCCCGTGCGATCCTCTCAAAGTTTTGAAGAGGATCCTGCCCAGCTTGCATTTCCTGGTTTCTACCTTCCCTCGTTTGTCTGACTCCAAACACTTGAATCTGCCCCACCTGTTGAGTTGGACTAAGCAGATTCGGACCCTGAGACTCTAATAAACCCGAACATATTCTATCTCCAGTTCAGTCTCCGTTTCTGTTCAACTCACACGTCATCATGGACTCATGTTTGCATATAGATATACAGGTAAAAGCCAGTAAATGAGAATATTTTGAAAATATCAGATGTCTTCAAAATTGAACCCTTACACAATATTCTAATTTTGTGACACGCGGAATTTTGGATTTTCATTTGTTGCCACTTCAAATCATCAAAATTAAATGAAATAAACATTTGAATGCATTAGTCTGTGTGCAATGAATAAATATGATGTACAAGTTACACCTTTTGAACGCAATTACTGGAATAAATCAAGTTTTTCAACATATTCTAATTTACTGGCTTTTACCTGTATATCTGATATCTCTCACGCTTCACTGAACTTTTCATTCTACTCCAGTCTTTTTGTTTGCAAAAATCTTTAGAATTGATACATCCACACAGGGATGAAACTCTCTCTAACTCACACACTCAGCAGTTCCTGACCAGGTGTCTTAACGGAAGACTGTATTTTATCAGCCTACTGCAGACATTTAACAGTTTATTTAACAGGAGAGCACAAATAGGAAACCCAGAGAGCAGAATTAAAAAGGCCAGATCTGATATCACTGTCAACGTGACGTCATTAACTATCCACAGTCAGTCTAACAGGCAGGAGAAGAGGATGAAACTTGTGAAGAGCCAAAAACTGATCGAACAAGCAGAATCTGCACGACCTTGAATATGTCTCAGTATGACCTTCAAACTATTGGTAATCTAGATCGGGATTGGCAACAGTTTTTTTTTTTTTTTTTGTGTGCTTTATATCTTCACCATGTAACATTTGGAAATGGTGAGCAGATAGGGTAATTAGTACATTATTAGTACATTAGTCAAGCTGGGGACCTCTGAGTTTCGACTTTCCTCCGCCGAGGAGCAAGAACAGCACAGGAATCACACCCACACACACACACACACACACGTATACATATATATATACATAGGACTTCTTTAGAAGAAATGTGGCAAAGTAACATTTGACTGAAGTACAAAAACAAACTCCATATTGTTAGATAGCATTGTAGCTCAAGGCAAAAACAACACAGAAAGACGAAAATGTAACCTTTTACACCTTTCATCCATTTGCTCCTTTTCATCAGAAGAGAAATATGATCACAGAAAACAAATGTATTACTCCACATCAGGGTAGGGCTTCCAAACCTTATCAAACCTACTGATGTTCGGGACAGAAGTGTCAGGGCGAAGTAATGAAAAACTCCCTACGACACCTTTAATTCTACTCTGACTCAGTCCCCCAAAAATAGCCCGGGACTTTGTGCGAGCAGACAAAAGGAAGATTTTTCCTCACGAGCGTGGCACACACAACAGAAGAAAATGTATAGAGACAGATCTGAGTGTTTGAGTTCACGGGTGGAATCCTCAACCGTTCCCCCAGCTATGAGCAGAAAGTTCAGACCGGAGGGGAGCGTGTCTGCATGGGTTTGTACGGCAGGGAGGGGGGGCAGGAATGTGTGTGTGTGTGTGTGTGTGTGTGTGTGTGTGTGTGCACCTGCTGGGTACATGCTAATAACATGAATCACTGAAGTGCACACAGATCCAGCAGCAAATGAGCCCTGAGAACAAGAACTGTCCCAGATTTCAGGAATCAATCATTCTGCATATGTTTCTGTGTTTGTGAGTGAACAGCTCTGCCTGCTCTGTGTGGGGGTTAGCAGGAGAGTTGTGGGTTAAAATCCCAGCTGGGCCCTTTGCATTGTTTGTATGTAATTTTTAAATATATTTTTAAATATATATATATATATATATAAAGAAAAATATATTCAAAAATATATTTAAAAATATATATATAAAAAAAAAATATATATATATATACATGGAGAGAGAGATAGAATAGATAGAATAGATAGAATATAGTGTCCATGTGATTGAATATGTTACAT